ACAGTTTCGGGTCAGTCTTGATTCTCGATGCATGTCATTTTCATACTGTCACTGGGCCTCCCTCCTTACCTGTGCGTACTCGTTCCTGGCTCTGCGACTGATCTCCCTATTTTTCGGTGTTCTCTGCCTTCTTACTTTTCCATTCTCTTTTGCACTTGGTTTTTGCCTCCTTACACCGTCGGGTAAACCGGGGGCTCGTTCGGGTTTTCCCCATTGTTTCTGTTGCCCTTGGGAATAAACCTTCCTCTGCCGCCTTGCATTTGTTGTTACATTTTCCCATCATTTCGTTACTGGTTTTTCCTTGCCAGTTCTCTGTGCCACGGAACCTCCCGCAGGAAGTTCTTCAACCCTATGAAAGTCTCCTCTTTTATAGTCAGGCTTTTCCCATCAACTCCTGTTACTCCCCTCCACTTGCAGCCTACTATGTATTCAAAGCACAGAACCACGTGGTCGCTAGCTCCTAAGGGACTCTCATACTTGATGCCCCTCAATGTCTGAGCTGCCCAGGGTGAACACAAGGTCCAATCTTGCTGGTTCATCCTCCCCTCTCACTCTGGTAGTGTTCTTAACATGTTGGTGCATGAGGTTTTCCAGTACCACGTCCAACATCTTGGCTCTCCATGTTTCGGGACCCCCATGTGGCTCCAGGTTTTCCCAGTCAATCTCCCTGTGGTTGAAATCTCCCATAACCAGCTACTTTGCTCTGCTGGAGTGAGCTCTTCTTGCCACCTCAGCAAGTGTGTCCACCATTGCTCTGTTGTGTGTGTGTGTGTGTGTGTGTGTGTACTCACCTATTTGTACTCACCTATTTGTGGTTGCAGGGGTCGAGTCCTAGCTCCTGGCCCCGCCTCTTCACCGGTTGCTACTAGGCCCTCTCTCTCCCCGCTCCATGAGCTTTATCAAACCTCGTCTTAAAACTGTGTATGGTTCTTGCCTCCACTACGTCATTTTCTAGGCTATTCCACTGCCTTACAACTCTATGACTGAAGAAATACTTCCTACTATCTCTCTGACCCCATTTTGCCCTTCAACTTCCAATTGTGGCCCCCTTGTTTCTGTTCCCCTCCCTGGAACATCCTGTCTTTGTCCACCTTGTCTATTCCACGCAGTATTTTATATGTCGTTATCATGTCTCCCCTGACCCTCCTGTCCTCCAGTGTGGTCAGGCCGATTTCCCTTAATCTTTCTTCATAGGACATTCCCCTTAGCTCTGGAACTAACCTTGTCGCAAACCTTTGTACTTTCTCTAGTTTCTTGACGTGCTTTATCAAGTGCGGGTTCCAAACAGGTGCTGCATACTCCAGTATGGGCCTGACATACACGGTGTACAGTGTCTTGAATGATTCCTTACTAAGGTATCGGAATGCTGTTCTCAGGTTTGCCAGGCGCCCATATGCTGCAGCAGTTATCTATCTGTGTGTGTGTGTGTGTGTGTGTGTGTGTGTACGAGTTTATGTATGTGTGTGTGTGTGTGACTCAACAATCATCATTTGCACCAATAACTTATTACAGTTGTGACCGTGTGTGGAAGTGTGAATTGCTCATTACTCTGGAATTTGTTCATGTTTGTACCCATGTATAAACGTAAGTAACCATTCTTACAGGATTCATTACCTTTGTACGTAGTTCAGCTAACAAAACTTTGGGGCCAAGTCCCTGGACCCATTATGTACCTCTGTAATCTGTAAATACCTTTGTAACGTGTCATAATTGTGACTAGACCTACCTGGAGTTCATTACCTTTGTAAATTGTGAGTTCATTACCTTTGTAAATTGTGAGTTCATTACCTCTGTAACTTGCTCAGCTATCAAAACTTTGGAGTCCAGTCCCTGGACCAATTATGTACCTCTGTAATCTTTTGACTACCGCCCACAGGATGGGTATGGGGTGCATAATAAACATATTAAACTAACTCTTGCATTGAGGTACAACCGACCATGAGTCACGAGTGCCCACATCAGAGGTAGAAGGTTGAGGATCGTCAGGGTTTTCTGCACTATTATCAATATCCTGATCATTCCTTTCGGTCACTAACTGATCAAAGCCATAGAATTTGTCTTCATTTCCACTTCCATCAGTGTCAGAACTATCAGATAGGAAGAGGAGAGTCCCAATTTTCTGGGGAGTGAGAGCTGACTTGCGACGAGGCATGGTGAACAAGGGTAACTGAGCCAGCGTTCCCACAATGCTATGCGGGCGCCTAGATTTTTTGTTTATGGCGCACACCCACCACGCAGACCCATTCTCTCACATGTAGGCCTATGAGCGCTTTCGCACTAAATTTGACGGCACTAGAATTTTGGCGTAAATCTACGGTTTGGACACTCAACGTGAAGCCGTAGATCTACGGGACGGACCCTGAAAGGGTTAACCCTTTCAGGGTCCGTCCCGAACGGGTCTGCGTGGTGGGTGTGCGCCATAAACAAAAAATCTAGGCGCCTGCATAGCATTGTGGGAACGCTGGCTCAGTTACCCTTGTCATTATGACCAGGAAAAGATTCTCTATCATTTCATAAGAAAATTTTTTTTTTTTTTTTTCCAAAAAATTTTCAACACTAAGAATAATTTAGGAGAGGGCCTGCCGACCCTGAAAGGGTTAACCCTTTCAGGGTCGGCAGGCCCTCTCCTAAAATTATTCTTAGTGTTGAAAATTTTTTGGAAAAAACAAAAAAAAAAATTTTTTTTCTTATGAAATGATAGAGAATCTTTTCCTGGTCATAATGACACCAAAAGTATGAAATTTGATAGAAAACTTACGGAATTATGCTCTCGCCCTATTTTCGGCCAATTCCAATGTACCAGTCGACAGAAATCACACCTATTTTGCTAGAACTCTATTTTTTCTATCAAATGAGTACAAGAAACTACCCATTTACCGATTTGAACTATCCAATAAAGTGGTCAGAAATTGGTAATTTTGCCAATTTTACACAAATTTCAAAAGATGCCAATTTCCAAATAAGGTCCAGAGTAAACAAGACAGACATTCCTGGCACTAAAATAACATTTCCTCTGTTCATTAGTCACGTCCCCAGGCCTCTGTTATATTTCTTTTGCTTTCCACTTTGAATTTCTATTCTCACAAAAAATAGAAGATTTACTGTTATGCAGACTACTGCATTAGTGTAGAAATGGTATAAATAATATCAGCGCACTTGTGAAAGAATATTAGACTCACCAGTTGATGTGTATTGGACGCATGGCATGATTTGTTTACTTTTGAACTTTGGCAAAAATCGAACATTTCTCATAATTTGAACTCAATTTCAAGGTACTTTTCATTGTGAAACCAATCAAAATCATCTCAATTTCCGTAATATGTCTTCCATTCTATAAAATGAGACCAGGAAAACTAGAATACAGCCATAAATACCATATGAAAATACACTGCAAAGTTGCTGTTTTAAACCAAAAACACGGTCGGAGTTTTTTCTCTCATTATGCACTGTGTGCTACAGGAATTTTTTTATACTGTGCACACTGGCCACATAGACCCATTCTTTCATATGTAGGCCTACCAGAGTTCTCTCACTAGATTTGAAGGCGCTAGAATTTATGCGTACTAGTACGGCACCAACCCTGGCGTGCAAGCCGTACTAGTATGGCGCCAACCCTGAAAGGGTTAATACACAAATAACCCGCACATAAAAGAGAGAAGCTTACGACGACGTTTTGGTCCGACTTGGACCATTGACAAAGTCATTGACTTTGTCAATGGTCCAAGTCGGACCGAAACGTCGTCGTAAGCTTCTCTCTTTTATGTGCGGGTTATTTGTGTATCGTTCCAGTCACGGTATTGTGCCTTTTTTGTTATTCCTGAAAGGGTTAACAAGGAAACATTTCGCCACACAATGGCTTCATTAGTCCATACAAAGGACTGATGAAGCCACTGTTTGGCAAAATGTTTCCTCATTAAAGATACCCAATTGTTGCACATGTGTCTAATTTATCAACTTGTTAGTTCTCAGAACTATTCATCTACATACAATGCATTCTTTTTGACTAAGCTCTGAATTTCTGTTTTTTTTTTTTTTCTCTCTTCCATCCTTTCCAGATGAGTGTCTCCTCACCCATTGAGAGTGGAAATATAGGTTACTGATGCTGTCAGTGCAATTATAAATTGTAATTTCCTATTTGTTCTTATAGGTAACTAATACCATAATTTTTAAAGAACAATGTTGTTATCTTGGAGAAAGCCAGTTTTTTTTTTTAATGCTATTCCTATTCCTAGAAGAGGGACACTATAGCAGATCAACACACTAGAAGAGGGACATTATAGCAAATCAACACATTACAAGGACACTATAACCAGTCAGCATTAAGAGGCACCCTATAACAAATCGGAACATTATTATCCAATTGGCTTATCAGAAGAAGTGCACTATAGTCAGTCAGCACACCAGAAGAACCACAGTATAGCCAATCAGCACTAAAAGAGGTACACTATAGCCAGTCAGCACTGTAAAGGAGGTACACTACAGCTAGTCAGCACTGTTAAAGAGGTACACTACAGCCAGTCAGTACTGTAAAAGAGGTACACTATAACCCATTTGTTCACTGTAAAAGATATGTTATAGTCAATTAGTGGAGTATACAAGATAAACACTAGCTAATCAGAACACTATAAAAGAGGTACACTAGCCAGTCAGAGCACTACAAAAGCTTTACACTAACCAGTATGTGCACTGTGAAAAATGTACCCTATGGTTAATCACAACATTGTAAAACAGGGATACTATAGTTAATCAGTGCACTGTAAAAAAATTACTCTATAGTTAATCAGTAAACTAAAAAAGGTACACTATAGCCAGTCACTACACTATAAAAGTGCATTAGCCACTATAAAACAGGTACAGTATAACTAATTAGTGAACTTTAAAAAGAGGTACATTATAGCCAAGCAGTGTATTGTTAGAGGTACTCTACAGTACTCTATAGCCATTCATAGCACTGTAAAAGAAGTACGTACAATGTTATTGTGAGTGTTGTCGTCTTACAGGCTTTGTTGGACTACCTGACAACAATAGCAAAACTTAAGGTTCGTGTGTTTTGTGACTTACATGGTCACTCACGGCAGAAGAACGTGTTTATGTATGGATGTTCACGTATGCAGTCATGGTGGCCAGGGGACAAGGATTTGCCTGATAATCCTGATTTCATGGTAGGCTAATAAAAAAATCACTTTTATGAAATATTTCTAACATTGGGCTGTCAATGCATAAGGTGAATTTAAAATTACTGTACATGTTATTTCTTTTATCCTGTACATAGTTGTGTCTATACAGCATTGTACTATACATCTTCTGGTTTTCTGTATATTTTTTTGCTGTATATTTCATGTTTTATTGTGATTTTTTTAATTTTTTTATTTCATACAATATTTATGTGCTAGTAGTCATGCTTTTCTTAATACAGTAGTACATTATTTTCATTTTCAGCTTTTGCCACAACTTGCTCAAAAGTACATGAAGACATTTTCCCTTCGTGACTGCCACTTTTTAATAGAACGAGCAAGGGAATCCACGGCACGTGTGGCAGTGTGGAGACAGTTCAACATTCCTATGTCTTACACAATGGAGGCATCTACCTGCGGGTGTGATCAAGGAAAATACAAAGTTAGTGTCAGGATTTTTTCTTTCTACATTCATCTAATGATGCTGTATGTCATGGAAACACCAGGTTGCCTCCCTAAATCTGAATGTCATAGTACAGTGGACCCCCGCATAATGATATTATTTCAATCCAGAAGTCTGTTTGGGTGCCGTTATAGAGCGAATTTGTTCCCATAAGAAATATTGTGAATTAGATTAGTCCATTTCAGACCCCTAAAAATACGCCTACAAATGCACTTACAAAAATAAACTTACATAATTGGTCGAGTTGGGAGCTGATCGTTATCCGGGGGTCCACTGTATATTGAACTTGCTGAAATTTTTGGTGCTTCTTGGTCTTATTCAAACTAGACTATTTGGACCAGGTATATTTTTCTGATTTAGCAAGTAGATTCTCTGGGCTTAATGGCATTCATCATCAAGGATTGTCCTTGTGTTTTGGGGATCTTTTAGTCTTCCCTGAATGAAAATCTGTATGCACAATTGAATGTTCATTTGCATCAGGATCAACAAGACATACACACACTCTATTATTTTGTTTGCTTCCATTGCCTTCATGATGCAGCAATTATTACAGCCTCTCCTCACTTAACGATGTACTCATTTACCGATGCCTTGGACTTATGACGGGCTCTCTGACCAGTATTCATGCCTAAATAATGTATATTAGAGCTGATTTCCACTATTTTGTTTATTTCAATATATACAGTGCACTACTGTATAAACATTTAAAAATATACCAGAAATGTTATAAATGGTGCAGAGGTGGCATTAAAACAATATCAGAGATGGTTGATACAAACTCACTACCATTATAGTATGCTCCACGCTTAGCAACGAATTCATTTAACGATGTGGTCTTAGGAACAGAACTCTGTCGTTAAGTGAGGAGAGGCTGTATTATTTTTTTATTATCATCTTACACATACAGATCCTGTCAGTCCTTAGGCCTACCTCCTCTTTCTGTCTTTCTTGTTGTTTTTTAAACCAGCTTATCCATCATAAACAATAAATAACAAAAATGGCTTTTGCAATTTGCTTATAGTACAGTACGTATTTTGAAAATTCTTAAGCTTTTTGATTTTTGTAGTCTTAACTAATGGTACTGTATTCAGAGTTCCCCTCGCATAAAGAATACAGGCACTCACAGAGAAAAATGTTCACAGAGATCTGGCCAACCTCACTACATTACTGCTATTTCTCACAGTATAATAAACTATTATCCATCACAAAGAGGATGGAACTGTGTTCAGCTATTTGAAAAATTGAATAAGTCTGTTGGAGTTTTAGGTTATTGTTTTTAGTTCCTGTATTTATTATAGTTCATTAGAACACATCATTGTTAATTTATTGGTTAATTTATTGATACATATGATCCAAGAACAACTCAGTTAAAAATACAAAATAAGATAATTCTGCATAAGTGTATTAGATAGGAATGAATGGAGATGAATGGTTTTTGCAATCTGAAGAGCTGTTGGAGTGTGAGCAAGGTAATATTTTGTGAAGGGATTCAAGGAAACCAGTTAACAGAACTTGAGTCCTGGAGATGGGAAGTACAATGCTTGCACTTTAAAGGAGGGGTATGGGATATTGGCTGTTTGGAGTGACATCTAAACTGTCATATCTGAGCACCTCTTCAAAGACAGTGATTATGTATGAATGATGGTGAAAGTGTTGAATGATGATGAAACTTTTTTCTTTCTTTGTGGTTCGCCCTGCCTCGGTGGGAAACGGCCAACATATTTAAAAAAAAAAAAAACAATCTCCCCAAATGTATATAAAATTACAATTGTATATGGCTAGTACTTAATTTTGGGGCTATGCACCATATGGCACCTGTTTTCTTTGGTCAGATACATCATCATCTTTCAACAAACTGGCCATATCCCACCAAGGCAGGGTGGCCCAAAAAGAATAACAAAAGTTTCTCTTTTTAAATTTAGTAATTTATACAGGAGAAGGGGTTACTAGGCCCTTGCTCCGGCATTTTAGTCGCCTCTTACAACACGCATGGCTTACGGAGGAAGAATTCTGTTCCACTTCCCCATGGAGATAAGAGGAAATAAACAAGAACAAGAACTAGAAAGAAAATAGCAGAAAACCCAGAGGGGTGTGTGTATATATATGCTTGTATATGTGTAGTGTGACCTAAGTGTAAGTAGAAGTAGCAAGACGTACCTGAAATCTTGCATGTTTATGAGACAGAAAAAAGACACCACCAATCCTACCATCATGTAAAACAATTACAGGCTTTCGTTTTACACTCACTTGGCAAGATGGTAGTGATGGTAGTGCCTCCGTGGGCGGTTGCTGTCTACCAACCTACTACCTAGGAGTCAGATACATGGCCACAGAATTAAAAATCAACCATAGAATTATTTCAGAATTATTCTCAGTGGGTTTCCAGGCTCAAATTTTCTCTTTTCCCAACTGTCTTATGAATAGCACTGTTAACATGATTACAGTGAATTTAAAAGAATGGAAGCATTTTTCTTCTTGTGCAACTGATTTTACAAAGCTTCTTTTGTAATAAACACCTTTCAGAATTTACTGAAAACACCTTTCAGTAAATTCTGTCCTCTAATGTTATCAAGCTTATCTCCTTTAGTCTCTCCTCATAACTCATTCCTTAACTCTGGGACTAGTCTTGTTGTAAACCTGTGCACTTTTTCTGGTCTTGATTTGGTACTGGAGTGTATACTATGTGCCATTTACCCATTGATACAATGTCTCTTTGGGTTTATAAAGTGATGTACAGTGGACCCTCGCCTAACGATATTAATCCGTTCCTGAGAATTCAACTTTAGGCGAAATTATCGTTAGCTGAATTAATTTTCCCCATAAGAAATAATGGAAATCAAATTAATCCGTTCCTGACACCCCAAAGTATGAAAAAAAAAATTTTTACCACATGAAATATTAATTTTAATACACACAAACTGAAGAAGACATGTACAATTACATGACACTTACCTTTATTGAAGATCTGGTGATGATTGATGGGATGGGAGGAGGGGAGAGTGTGGATGGTGTTAATGTTTAGAAGGGGAATCCCCTCCCATTAGGACTTGAGATGTCAAGTCCTTTTCCGGAGTTACTTCCCTCTTCTTTTAATGCCACTAGGACCAGCTTGAGAGTCACTGGACCTCTGTCGCACAATATACTGTCCATAGAGGCCTGTACCCCCATTCCTTTATGACATTCCTAAAGTGTTTCACAACATTGTCAGTGTAATAGTCACCAGCACGGCTTGCAATAGCTGTGTGAGGGTGATTTTCATCAAAAAAGGTTTGCACTTTAAGCACATTGCACACATTTCCCTAATCTTGAAGTAGGCAACTCCTCAATTTCTCTATCTCCCTCCTCCGAAGTAGTTTCCTCAGGTGTGGCCTCTTGCTGTTGAAGATGATCTTGCAGCTCATCAGTGGTTAGTTCTTCATTGTCCTCCTCCACCAACTCTTCCACATCCTCCCCACTAACCTCCAATCCCAAGGACTTCTCCAGTGCCACAGTTCATTCCACAACTGGCATAGGCTTCTCAGGGTTAGCCTCAAATCCTTCAAAATCCCTTTTGTCTACACAATCTGGCCACAGTTTCTTCCAAGCAGAGTTCAAGGTCCTCTTAGTTACTTCCTCCCAAGCCTTACCTATAATGTTTACACAATTGAGGATGCTAAAGTGATCTCTCCAAAACTCTCTTAGAGTCAATTGAGTTTCTGAGGTCACTACAAAGCACCTTTCAAACATAGCTTTTGTGTAGAGTTATTTGAAGTTTGCAGTGACCTGCTAGTCCATGGGCTGCAGGAGAGGAGTGGTATTAGGAGGCAAAAACTTGACCTTAATGAAGCTCATGTCCCCAGAAAGTCGCTCTGCCACGTCTGAAGGATGACCAGGAGCATTGTCTAATACCAGGAGGCACTTAAGGTCCAATTTATTTTCCAGGAGGTAATTTTTCACAGTGGGGGCAAATGCATGGTGTAACCAGTCATAGAAAAGTTCTCTAGTGACCCATGCCTTACTGTTTGCCCTCCACATCACACACAAATTAGCCTTGAGGACATCGTTTTTCCTGAACACTGGTAGTTTCAGAGTGATGCACCAATAAAGGCTTCACTTTGCAATCACCACTTGCATTAGTTCACATCAACAGAGTAAGCCTGTCTTTCATAGGCTTATGTCCTGGGAGTGCCTTTTCCTCCTGAGTAATGTAGATCCTGCTTGGCATTTTCTTCCAAAACAGGCCTGTTTCGTCACAATTAAACACTTGTTCAGGTTTCAATTCTTCACTGTCTATGTACTCCTTTAATTCCTTCACATATTTTTCAGCTGCTTTTTGGTCCAAACTGGCAGTCTCACCATGCCTTATCATACTTTGTATGCCACTACGATTCTTAAATCTCTCAAACCAACCTTTGCTGGCCTTTAATTCACTCACATCACCACTAGTTGCAGGCATTTTTCTAATTAAATCGTCTTGCAACTTCCTAGCCTTTTCACATATGATGGCTTGAGAGATGCTATCTCCTGCTATCTGTTTTCCGTTTGTCCACACCAATAACAGTCTCTCAACATCTTCTATCACTTGCGATCTCTGTTTCGAAAACAAAGTTGCACCTTTGGCAAGAACAGCTTCCTTGATTGCCGTTTGCTTGGCCACAATAGTAGCAATGGTTGATTGGGGTTTTGTGTACAACCTGGCCAGCTCGGAGACACGCACTCCACTTTCATACTTAGCAATGATCTCTTTCTTCATATCCATAGTAATTCTCACCCTTTTTGCTGTAGGGTTGGCACTAGAAGCTTTCTTGGGGCCCATGGTGACTTATTTTGCAGGTGCAATCACTAAAAACGCTGTGATAATACGAAATGTTCCGATTGTATGTTTGGATGTGACCGTGGTGTCTGGCTTGTAAACACTGGCACCCACGGGACAAGTGAGGCGTGCTCAGGCCACACGTGGACGCGTCTCGAATGGAATGAATCACGTTGGGCGATTTTTT